TAGCCAAAAAAAAAAAAATCCAACAAGGAAAATAGACATGTCGGTCTGCTAATAACTTAGATAAGCAATATAACACAGTTTCAGAATTATACATAAACACGGATGCAGACATGAATGATGAATCAAGTCTCATTTGAATTATGGTTACCTGGTAAAGCCGTAGTTCAAATCGAGGACCAACCTCTTTCAGCTCAATTGATTTTGGACCTCCGTGCTTTTCATAGATGTGATGTCTGTGGATGTTTCAATCAAATTTAGTACAAAGCAAGGAGGAAAAGAAGAAGTTGTATATTTGGCAAATGATCAAAACTTAACCTCCTTTTCAACTATCCTCTATGTCAATCAGAAAAGACCCTTTCCCTCTAATGCTTAGGTCTATATAAAAGGTTCTTTGACAACAGAAGGGATAGCCTAGTGGTAAGGACCCTCCACCTTTCTATTTGTTAGGATATTTCAGGCAAATCCATGTACACCACCATAATAGAAATAAACAAAGGTTAACGATTTTCTAAAAGATTCACTATGCTAAGCTTGCTGGAACAAAAATGTAGAATCTAATGACTGAAACAACTAAAAGAGACATCCCTTAAAGGATAGACTATGAAAAAGAAATAAAATGTTACCAAAAAGAAAAAAGAATAGAACATTACAAACAGAAGTCAGATATATATCTACTTGTTTAAGGATAGCCAATGCCAAAGATACACTTTATAAGCTTCATTCTGCTCGTATGACACCATTAATTTTCAAGTAATTTAACTACTACGAACAAGAATCTAACCTGAATGAAATATAGTCCGACTGGTTAGCAAATGTGATAATACGTTTTGTATCAGGCTTGGGCACTGGAAACAAATGCTTTAGGATGTTAACTGTCCTCTCACCAAGCTGCATGATCAAAATATCCCTGGTTAGCATAGAACAGTATATAAGATGTCACACTAAGAGCCCGTTTGGATGGGCTTATTTTAAGTGACTTTTAAGCCAAAATAGCTTTTTAAGCCATAAGTTAAATTCTAACTTTTGGCTTTTGGCTTGTTTTTGTCATTTTAGCTTGCAAACAAGTGCTTAAAAGCACTTTTTTACTCTGTCCAAACACTACAAAATGGCTTAAAAGCACTTAATATAAGCCAATCCAAACGGGCTCTAAGAATACAAAGACTCCAGACATTCATATATAATTAAAACTTCTAGGATTGATTGTTTGCAGATATAAGCGACCAAATTAAAAACTCTTGATGTCAATATGTCACCAACTGGGAGCCACTGAGAAGCTATAAACTTTGATATGGAGATAACATAGAATTCTTGTTTCTTTTGTTAATATGTCTAGCAAGTCCATTGGAAATGCATGAAAAAATGATTGGTTTTACCCTTCATCAAAAAAAGGATGTTATGTATAACCTTTGTTGAAAATTTGTCAAAAATCAGATGTGGGTACGCCTCAGGCATGGTTCCAATAGATTTTTTGTCCTTTATGTCATGTCTCGTGACCTGCATGAAAATGGTTAAATGAGGACATCATCTGCAACTCTTCACAGCCAGCAGAAAACTTTTGGAACTATATAAGGTAAGAATAAGACCACTTACCACATTGAGCAATCCAAAGTAAGCAGTTGGACCAAATGGCAGATGGCTAATGATAATACCATCAGGCACACCACGATGCTCATGGACCAAAATTACATCTGTAAAATCATGAGCTCGGCAGGTTTCAATTATTTCTGATATAACCTGAAAAAAGGGGAAAAAAGAGACTAAAATGAAAGCACATAATAAGTGTATAAAACAGGACTAGATACTTGTGCAAGTACATAAAAGTAATTAAATGCTTAAGCCAAATCATTTCCCCCGGTTGAAAAAAGAAACGTCCAGAAGACGAAGAGTCACAGCAATTTCTTTACAAAAAAAAAAAAATGTGACATCCATTGCCATGTGCTCTCTTCTTTTTATATTCTATTAAATAAGTTCGACTGAAATATGTCCTTGCCCTAGTGAAGAAAAATACGGGCCACTGCAAATTTTATGAAGCAAAGACACAAAGCTGATACAGGTTACTTCAATTCCTTACCTTTCATTTTCATATAATAGAATGGAGTAGCGACTATTAGAAATAAAACAACACAAAAAAGATAATGTCGTCGAGAGACAGTAGAGAGAGCTGCCCAGCTGCCTATACTATTGGCTTGTCCCAAGAAATACTTAACCAAAGTGCCAAACCATGTCAATTTTGTTTGTGATCAGTAAAACCTTGTAAAATAAGCATGTCAATTGTAAAGTGTTCTCCAAAATCCCCCATTTTCTGCCAAGTATAATAGGAGATTGACATATAAAAAAACAGAGAGAGAGAGAGAGAGAGAGGATCATCATCGTTCAAACTAGTATGTAGGAGGATCTGATCCAATTTCTTCCCTTTTATCTTGATGTTCCTTTATTTTTAGATAACAGGGGTATCCCACTTGCTTGTGTGCACCTCAACTAATCCACTAGATGAGTCGAATGAGTCCACTAGTCCATCAATGAAATTCAATAGAACACTCAAGTGAGGGAAGTCACAATCCATTGAATAAGATCGGCTCAAGGTGATGCCTAACTCTATCCACCAGGGCTTGCTTACAAATGGGAAGAAATCACGTAAGGTATTTGCCCTAATGGGATTTGAACCTTGATCTCCCATGTCCATTCCTTACTGCTAGGCCACACCCTTGGGTGCTGATCTTCCCTATTTTATGCTCAGTAGAACAACAGACTAACATGGAAATGGGAAGTAAAACAAGGGGCAGAAGATCAATCTCAAACTATAAAATTCAAGATTCTGATTTGTTTTCTTCCCACCAAAGAGGAAGGATTATATTAACAGATTTCTCAAAAATCATAGTGATATTACATCTTATTGTAAGATATAATCATATTCCCAAGTCCCAACCACATAAAGAGCCAAGGTTAAAGGAAGTGAGGAACAGTATCAAAATTGAACTAGTATGCAACAGTGCAAAAAAGCAATTAGCTTTCTTAAATACACATTATCACTAACTAAATCTTCCCAAGTACAATGGAATTAAGTTTAAAGAAGGTCAAGTTTCAAGATGGAAAAGCGTCCAGTAAAGATTATTAAGCTGACTAAACCCCAGCAATAGGTTTAACATGTCCATACATATAAAAATAAATCTAAATTGTAATTTACACTAACACCTCGTCCTATTCTTAGAGACAAATTAGTTCCAATTCTAAATATTATGAAACTCTTAAGCTATAATGCTCCCAAAGCCATCACTAGTTAANTCAGTTGCATTAGCATATTCATCATCAATAGTTGATCGAGGTACTGCATCAACATCATTAAAAAGGATAAAGGACTAGTCCTAGCAAATACATAGCACGTACAACTCAACAAGTAACGTAATTGGAAACCACCTCATATCCATCTGGAACACTTATTTCAAAAAAACAAAGAGAAAGAAGGAGAGAGCGGGCGCGCGAGAGAGAGAGAGAGAGAGAGAGAGAGAGCATGACAAAAATTAAAGCATTAAAGGAACAATAACTGTAAAGGTTATAGGTTCCAATAGAAACTTCCATTCAGGGACTGGCCCTACAACAAATCCTAAAACATCTCTTGTTTTTCTTTTTTCTTTTTTTATATGGTTGATAAATCAAAATTGAGAACATGGAACTTCTCCTTTCTTCCATAAGGTCCACATAACCCCGGCGGACGACAGCAAACATCATGTATCTATGTTCACAAGGGACATTAACTCGTACCCTAGGAAGACACCACCCATTGAATGCCAAAACAACCAAAAAGTCCTGGCAACTTGGCAATGAAGCAGAATGAACTATAGTTGATTTTAGCCAAAAGGCGGAAAAAGGTATTTTAAGTCTGATACTACAAGCTGAAGAAAAAGGTGAGATATGATCATCCACCACAGGACCGGAGAATATGATTTTGAAACATGAGATCCACCGAAGTGAGGAACAATAGGCAAAGGATATGGAGCAGAATATAGCGAAAGATGAAGAAAGAGCCATAGCAGGAATCAGCTGGGTTCAAGAAAGGAAAAGGATCACAATATTGAATTTCTTTAACCACACAAGGTGCAGCTGTTAAGAAGATAGTTCATGTTTAATGTTTCCACAATTCCTTGGCTCTTCCCTGGCCTTGTGGTTTAGGATAACAACGACGTTAGGGAGCACTTTTCTAGTAAGCCAAGACATTCAAAGCACAAAGTGTAAGAGGAAAATCATATCTAATATCTAATGCATTTCACGACAGATCTACGCTATATAAAGGAAAACTATGCCGAAATTTACATAGCTTCTCTATGATGGAGATTTGATTTTCATAGAACGTACTCTAATATTTTGACCTACTGATACTAAGACAAATTATAGGTAGAAGTAAAAGTGAATAAGGCATGTCATCCCTTTTCTCATGCATTTCCAGAATCTAATAATTTCTAGTTTATTTTATGTTTCATAGCCTTCCATCATCTGTCATACCACTCCTCATTGCTTCTCTCTTACCTTCTCTTTCATACTCTACAACTATAAAAATATTATATCACATATGAAGACCAAATAAATTCCTCTTCTTGGCATTCCGTTAAACAGACCAAATGTTCCACAATTTATAATCAACAAAGAACTATTTCTCCAAGCCTAATAGATGTTATATAAAAGTGCATAAAGTGGATGAAGTTTGAAGCTAGGATTTGAACCCTGATCTCCCATGATTCATTCCAGCTTCATTGTCCATTTAGTCACACTCTTGGTGTTAATACTCGCCAAAAAGCCATTTTTTGGCCTTCAAGTTATTTATATCAATCACTTTAAACAAATTCCAGTAAACATCGCACTTCTTTTCCTATACTAGACATCAAACCACTTTCATTCCCAATTCAATCAAGTATACCAAATAACCAAGACAAGTAGCAGGATCCTTAATCAGCCCTCTAAACTATAAAAAAAACATGCAAAGGAAACATGGGCAAAAGCAAAAAGGAAATTAACATACCAGCAGTATTTTCATCTTCAAGGTCGATTTCTTTGCGAAGAGCAGCCTCTTCATTCCTGAGCTCAGTTGGAATGGGTTTTCCCTCTGAAATACCCAAAATCGTTAATAAAGAAGGTTAAAAAAAGAATTATATACAATTCAAAATTTTCTCGTTTATTCAGTGTGAAACCTAACCCTCCAAAGCTTCTTTGATTTTGCGTTTCTTCTCATAGAGCAAACGCTCTTTCCCTTCTAAGCTTTTCCTGTAAAGATACTCTCTTCGCAACCTAATGTTCCTTCTATGCATGGCTTAGAAGTCGTTTAAGAGATTTTCTATGGTAGTAGGGTTTAAGAGATTTTCTGGGGAGAAGAAAGGAGGGTTTTTCTGAGACGTTCAATGGGTTTGTATAATGTGCTTCGGTTTTGAATTTTCGATTATTTGGACCCATGTTGAACTCAACTTGCAGATGGACCTTAGGTTGGATTGGGCTTCCCAATATATAAGCTAGGCCAAGTTATTGGCTAAGCATATGTACCCATCTCAGTGAGTAATGTTTTAAAATAAAATACATAAATACTATTATTAAATAATGTACTGAATTTATAAATGAATATTTAAGAATATAATTTTTTGAAAATGATAAAAAAAATAATCTTATTTAGCTATATCAATAATCAATAAAGAAAAAATATTGATGTATAATTATTGTTTTTTTTTAATTGTGATTAAGCCATACCACCAATCCCGCCCTTCCTTTCTGAAAGTTTCTTTCATTATCATTTATAATATATCATGATTTAATTTATTAATTAATGTATGAAAGTAGAATATTTAAATTAAATCTTAATAATCTATTGCACATTAATTAGAAAATTTAGACAAGGTTAAGATTATAGTTTAAAAGGACCTGAGATTAAATTTTAAAGGTCTGTCACTTTGTCTACCAATTTAGTTGTTGGTTGATTTTGGATGTCTATATATATCTATATCTATCTATCTATCGTGTATTAAAAGCATGAAGGTGTTTAGCGAAATGTCGTTCGCTTTTTTATCCTTTAAAAATAAATTTCACGTTGGACAAAATAGTAATTTAGATTATTTTTCTAATATTTAGGACTTAGTCCTTATTTGAATTATGTATGAATTCCTAATATTTAGGAGTTCAAAATCAATTCAGATTTTACCTTATTTAAATTATTTTCTTATTTAAATTATTTATATAACTGTAATCATTCGATATTAAGTTCTTAATATGTAGTATCTTAACATCAACTAAAATTTTATTAATTAAAAGCTTTAATAAACTCACCCAACACATGCACGTTCAATGGTGGTAAGAAATATAAGGGAACATCATGGAAACCATTTGGGCTAATTGATTTTTTTTTTTACTGTAAATTTAATATAAATTACCTCAAATGAATTATTTGTTTATTTTAGCAACGTGAGATAATTGTCATTTTTTTCATGTTACAGCTCAATATTTAAAATTTGGGATGTGCTAATATTAAAATTTTGAATCAACACAAATCTAATGAGTTACTATAATAATAAAAAAAATAAGCCTTTGAATTAATTATTAGCAAAAACTATAATCCAATTATTTTTCAAATGCATCACCTAAGTTAAATTATTTTTTTGGTTGACAACTCTTTGGTATATAAATTTGCTTCCACAAGATCAAGCAAATTGGCGGTGAAAAAAAATCAGTAAAAGAGGAATATCAGTTATTTTTTTGGTTGACAAACTCTTTGGTATATAAATTTGCTTCCAGTAGATCAAGCAAATTGGCGGTGAAAAAAAATCAGTAAAAGAGGAACATCAGTTATCATATAGCATTAAGAGTAAAATTAATTGAAATGCAAACTTAAATAATAAGAATAAAATAGTAGACCAAAATATACTCTAAATAAATTATCATTAATTATTATTATTATTATTATTATTATTTTCTTGCATTCATTTCAACGAATTATGAATCCTTACTTTTTTTTTCTTTATAGAGCTAGATAAATGAGATTAATATTCACTCTAACACTTTATAATTTAAGTTTTATTTTATAACTCAAATATATTACTTAAAACATTTATGTGAAATTTAAAAATTATTTACCTATTGATACGAGAACACGCTCAAAGTGTGTTTCATAAGAAAATAAAGTTATACTGGATAAAATAGTCAATTAATTATTTTACTAATATACTTAAAAATTTATTTAATTATTTTTCTAATATTTAGAAATAGTCATTTAATTATTTAATATTTACCAATTAAAACCAACTAAAACTCTAAAAATTTTACTTATTAAATTTTGTTTCTTATTTGAACTATGTCATAATATTTTGGACATTAAAATCAATTAAAACTCTTCTAAGAACTTAGTTTCTATTTAGGCAAAACTTCAAGCTTTGTCGTTTTCCTTTCCTTCAAAAAGAATGCTCTTGCTCACCAACTAATAACCTCAAATCTTTTCCGCACCGATAAGATTTTAAAAAATTTACTAAGTATCTTTATAGACAGTATTACTTTGTCAGATTCATATTATTCTTAGTTTTATGGCTTGCTACCAAGAATTTAACAAATCCTGATTGATTCACTTTAGTACAAAAAAACTTTCCAATCAAAATATGTATTTCTGGCCAAGTTCATATGTGAGAAAATACATAAAATGCACTATGTACTTGTCCGGAAAAATTAGTTTCATACTTAACCTTTACGGGTATCCTACTACCTCTCTATTGTTGTCCAAAATGAATTTAATATCACCCTCAAAGCTGATCTGGCAAAGAATATGTTATCACATTCCTTTATGCGCGTGAAAGGCAAGAAAAAATATTAAAAAATGATTAAACTATGCACGTGTTATCTTTTAATTGGATGTTATCAACTAATTGCACTTAAATATTTATTCTTAATATTTTTTGCATTGTTTATTTTCTTATTCTTTGTTCTTTTATTTCTTTTTCTGTTCTCCTTCATCGTCTTCCTCATTTCCTCTTCTCCTTTCTCTTCTTAATCCCCATATATTTTCTCTTCTTTATTTTCTTTGTTTTCTTTTTATTCTCAAATTTCAAATCAAAAGCTCACACCTAACTCCTTATTTTGTCGAAACTTCACCTTCCGCCAATCTCTCTCTCCCACCTTTTCTTCTCCTTAGTTATTGCTAGTCTACTACTACTCCTTTAATTCTTTTACCTTATTCCTTAATTAATATTGAGTACATATTTAACTCTACAAATGTCATTATTAAAGGCAACCCAATTTTTACTTTCTCCGTTTTCTCTTCCAATTTCTGACACCCATTAGTTCATATTTTTGATAGTTCATATTTTTGAGACCCAACAGTAATGCATTCTTAATTTTAGCTCTGAATATACTGCTTTTTTTCCCACACAAAAAAAAAAGAATCTCTAATTTGGTAATGAAAGGAAGTAAAAGATGATAAAAATCTGAAAATAAATGGATTCTATTGTTGATTTTTGAAGTTAGTTGGACGGTCTTCAATGGCAAAAAATGGTTGAAAGAAATTGGACAGTGATTTATTAAAATTTGTAGTTGACCGAAATATGAAAATCTTTTAAATTAAAAATGGTCTGATAGTTGCTCTCTGTAGGGAGTTATGAATTAGACAAAAATGATGAAAGTTGTGAAACTGTTGAGTTTTAGGGGTGATGATTGTTTGGAGTTTATTCGGGGAGGGGTGGTTATTGTTGAATTAGTTAGAAAAACAAAAAGTAAAAATTATGCAAATGACACGTGTCAGCGCGTGTTTACACAACTAAAATAAAATATAGTTGTTAGCTTTGAGGGAGGTATTAAATTTACCTTGGCCAACGATAGAGAGGTATTAGGACATCCGTAAAGGTTAAATATAAAACTGACTTTTTAGGACAAGTACAAGGTGCATTTTATATATTTTTCCTTCATATTTTAGTTTTTTTTTTAAAAAAAGTTTTTGTTTAACAAATATTTACTTGGATGATCAATAATTTCTAATCATACAACTTTTATTAATTTATATTCGTTGATTTTATAATGCATCTATTTATTACTCTATTATACTATCTATTACATCTATTATTTTACTATTATAAAAGCGGAACAATCGAAGTGGAAAGTCAAAATTGCTCATAGAAAGTCGAACTACATCTTTCCCTTTCATTCATACTATAATGACCCGACCGGTCGTTTTGAGTTCTAGCGTATTGTTTGGTGGTTTGAGACCTTGGGTAACTTCACTTCAGGTATTATGACTTGTACGTGTGGTCGGAATTGAATTTCGGAAAATTCGAAGTTGATTTGGAAAGAAAATTCTAATTTCGGAAGCTTTAAGTTGGAAGAATTGACTAAGGTTTGACTTTGAGTAAACGACTTTGGAATCAGAATTTGAAGATTCCAATAGGTTCGTATGATAATTTTGGACTTGGACATATGTTCGGGTTGAGTATCGGATCACCCGGGAGCATTTCGATGCCTATTGTGAAAAGTTGGCATTTTGAAGGTTTTAGAATTTCCTAAGTTTGGTTTGAGGAGGACTTTGGTATTATCGATGTCCATTTGGGATTCCGAGCCTTGGAATAGGTTTGTATTGTGATTTATGACTTATGCGCAAAGTTTGGCGTCATTCCGAAATGTTTTAATATGATTCAAACGCGTTCGTCGAAGTTTAAAAGTTTAAAGAAAGGTTTCGATCGTCGATTCGTAGTTTTGATGTTGTTTGGCGTAATTGGAGACTTTGACTAAGTTCGTGTTATATTTTGGGACTTGTTGGTGTGATTGGACGGGGTCTCGAGGGCCTCGGGTGTGTCTCGGATCGAATTCGAACTAATATTGAACTTTGTGGAATTGTTGGTTTCTGGGCATCTAGTTTCCTTTTCCGCAATCGCAAGAAGAGGGCCACAACTGCAAAGGGTTAAGTGGACTAGTGGATTATTTTTTCTATGCGATCGCGTAAATGGTGTCATGTTCGTGGAGGTCGAGCTGGAGGTTCTTCGCGTTCACATGGGAGCTATCGCGAACGCGCTGAGTTAACGGGGCTGGCCTGTTTAGGAAGAGTTGTTCTATGCGATCGCGTAGTGGGGCTCGTAATCGCGAAAGAGGAAGTGACTTGGTAACACGATCGCGTTCTGGGCGTCGCGTCCGCGAAGAAGAGATTTTGGGGGCAGGGCAGTTTGGGCTTCACGATCGCGAGGGTTATTTCGCGATCGCGAAGAGGAATGACCTAGGCAGTGAGTTTTTATTTCGGGACATAGCCCATTTCTCTCACTTTTTCATTTGGTTGGGCGATTCTTGGAGCTCTTGGAGGGAAGATTTTCATCATCTATTGCAAGGTAAGTAATTCCCGCATATTATAAGTTAATTACGTAGATTTTATAAGTATTTAACATGAAAATTTATAAAAAATTATGGGA